AAAAGGCAAATCTATAGAAATGTAAAGTATATTAGTGGTTGCCTAGGGCTGGGATGTGGGAACAAGGGTGACTTCAAATGGGCATGAGGGATTATTTTGGTGTGATAGAAATGTTCTAAAACTGGATTATGAGGACAGTTGTACAACTTATCAATTTACAAAAAATCATTGAATTGTATAGTTTAAATGGTATGCAAATTTGCTATAGATTGAATGTTTGTGTCCCCCCCATTCATATGTAAGCAGAGTCCTCATGAATAGGATTAATGCTCTTATAAAAGAGGCTCCAGAAAGCTCTCTTCATCCTTTCTGACCTCACCAGACACTCAATCTGCTGGCCCCTTGATCTTGGACTTCTGAGCCTCCAGAACAGTAAGAAAAAAATTTCTGTTCTTTCTTAGCCACTCAGTCTATGGTGGTTTTCTTATAGCAGCCCAAAGGGACTAAAACAAAATTATACCTCGATGAAGCAACTATTAACAATTTCTTGTGTATTCTTCCAGATATGTCTATATGTTTACATACGTAATTATACACATTATTTTTCCCTTACAAATGATAGCATACCATTCAAACTATCTTCCAATGTCTGGTTCTGTTTGATTTTTAAGATAGATCCTGTAGATCTTTCCATAGTAGTATATGCATTGATCCATCATTCTTATGAATATGTACTGAGCATTCTGCTATATAACCATACCATTGATGAATTTTTAGATTATTTCCATCAATTTTGCTTTTGTAAATAATGCCACAGTAAATATCTTGGTGCATATGTTACTTCATATAAGTGTGCTATTACCTACAAGAATGCATTATTACCTATAAGTAGAATTTCTGGGCCAAAGCGTCCGGGCATTGTAATTTTGTTATATGTTTTCAAATTGATCTCCATACAGGTGAATTTACAGTCCAGTCAGCAATGCATGAGGAGATATTGACAACACATTTTTGACAATACAAGTTAACAAACCTTTAATCTCCATGCCAACCTAAAGTTATGACAAAAAAAAAAGCACTTTACTATACATTAGCTTTTCTCTTAGAAGAACAGAAATTCTCTTTCCACTTGGAACAACCTTATGTGAAACTTTGATAACTTTGTGAATGGGACAAATTCCTCAAAAAACACAAATTACCAAAGCTCACTCAAGTAGAAATAAACTACCTGAAGAGTCATATATCTTGAAAAATTGATTTTATACTTAAAAACTTCCCACAAAAAAAAAGAGAAAAGAAATTCTAGATTTGGAGGGCTTCAGTGAGGAACTCTGCCTAACATTTAAGGAAAACATGATACTAATTCTATACATACTTATAGCAAAAATGCAAGATAAAGAAACATTTCCCAAATCATTTTGTGGGACCAGCATTACCTTGACATCAAAAGCAGATAAAAACATTACAAGAAAGAAAACTTCATATCCCATAAAAATAGATTAAAAAATCCCTAACAATGGGGTGCCTGGCTGGCTCAGTGATAGAGCACAAGACCCCTAATCTCAGGGCCATGAGTTTGAGCCCCACATTGTGGGTAGAGTTTACTCAAAGAAAAACCCTAACAAAATATTAATATAATCCAGCAATCTTTAGAAGAATAATATATAATTTATGGAACAAAAATAATTTTTAGGAAAATTTTAATTTTCCAATTGGAGTTTGCCAAAAAAGAGCAAGGTTGACTCAATATGCAAAAACCAATCAATATAGTTAACCATATCAAAGACTAAAGAAGAAAAACCATATGACCATCCAATAGACACAGAACAATTATTTAACAAAATTCAACATTCAGGGCTCCTGGGTGACTCAGATGGTGAAGTGTCTGCATTCAGCTCAGGTCATGATTTCCAGGTCCTGGGACTGAGCCCCATGTCGGGCTCCCAGCTCAGCAGGGAGCTTGTTTCTCCCTCTCCCTCTGCCTCTCCACCTGCTTGTGCTCTCTCTGTCAAGGATCTCAAAGAGCAAAATGATTTTCAAAAAAGAGAACAAATTTGGGGACTCACACTATCTTATTTCAAGAGTTATTATGAGGCTACAATAACCAAGACAGTGTGGTAATCCTGTACGGATACACACGTAGCTCAATGGAGCACAATGGTGTCCAGAAATAGATCAACTGAGTTTCTTTCTTTGAAAAAAAGATTTATTTGTCAGAGAGACAGAGCACAAGCAGGGGGAGTGACAGGCAGAGGGAGAAGCGGGCTCCCCGCTGAGCAAGGAGCCCAACATGGGACTAGATCCCAGGACCCCTGGATCATGATCTGACTGAAGGCAGACGCTTAACTGACTGAGCCACCCAGGCATCCTAGATCAACTGAGTTTCAACAATGTGGCCAAGATAATTCAACAAGGAAAGAATAGTTTTTTCAACAAATGGTGATGAGACAATTATACTTCCACATTAAAACGAATCTTGACTGTTACCTCACACCATATACAAAAATTAACTCAAAATGGATCAGAGGCTTAAGAGTTAATACTTTAAGAGGGGGCGCCTGGCTGGCTCAGTTGGTGAATCATGGGACTCTTGATCTCAGGATTGTAGGTTTGAGCCCCACATTGGGTGCAGAAATTACTTAAAAAAATAAAACCTTAAAAAAAACACAACACTTTTAGGAGAAGACATCAGACAAAATCTTTGTGACCTTGGGTTAGGCAAATGTTTCTTAGCTAAGATGCAAAAAGCATGAATCATGAAAAAAAATGACAGACTGGACATCCTTAAAGTTTAAAAGTCCTGACATTTGAGGGCGCCTGGGTGGCTCAGTCGGTTAAGCGGCTGCCTTTGGCTCAGGTCATGATCCTGGGGTCCCTGGATCGAGTCCCGCATCGGGCTCCCTGCTTGGTGGGGAGTTTGCTTCTCCCTCTGACCCTCCCTCCTCTCATGTGCTCTCTCTCTCTCTCTCTCTCTCATTCTCTCTCCCAAATAAATAAAATCTTTAAAAAAAATAAAAAAATAAAAGTCCTGACATTTGAAAGTATCCCTAATAAAACGATGGTATGAGTTAGAAACCAAGAGAAAATATTTAAAAGACACATATATAAAAAAGGAGTTATATGCATAGTATTAAAAAAAACCCATTAAAACTCAGTAATAGTGAGACAACCCAATATTTTAAATGAACAACAACAAAAAGATTTGAACACTCCATCACATACTGATGGCAAATTAGCACATGAAAACATATTCAAAGTTATTGGTCATTACAGAAATGTAAATTAAAACAATAACACTATATACCTACTAAAATGGTTAAAATGAAAAAGACTGTCCGTATTCATATTAAGTCCTAATAAGGATTTAGAGCAACTGAAACCCTCAGATATTGCTGGTGGGGATGCAAAATAGCATATCTAGAAAACAGGTTGGCAGTTTCTCCTGACGTTAAACATACAATTACCATACTACCCCTTTTTGGTACCTACCCCCACCTCAAAATGAAAACAAATGTCTACACAAGTACCTGTATGTTAATGTTTACAGCTGCTTTATTCATAATATTAAAATTAAAAACAACTCAAATTTGAGCCCATCAACTGGCTTCATACTATATGATTCCATTTATATGGTAAACTGGAAAAGGCAAACTATAGTAACAGAAATCAGATCAATGGTTGCCAGGACCTGGGAATTCACCAGTGTTCTCTTCCAGGACTTGTATGATTTCATCTCTTATATTTAAATACTAATCCATTTGGAATGTATCCTGGTATTAGACATTGATTCCCTTTAGTTATTAAAAGTCCCAACTTTTTTTTTTAAAGATTTTTATTTATTTATTTATTTGAGAGCGAGAGAATGAGAGATAGAGAGCATGAGAGGGAAGAGGGTCAGAGGGAGAAGCAGACTCCCCGCTGAGCAGGGAGCCCGATGCGGGACTCGATCCCGGGACTCCAGGATCATGACCTGAGCCGAAGGCAGTCGCTCAACCAACTGAGCCACCCAGGCGCCCCTAAAAGTCCCAACTTTTGATGACACATTATTACATACTTAATAAATCAGCTAAAATTTTAAAAAGTGAAAATACCAAACACTGGCAAGAATATGGAAAACCTAGATGTCTTATAAATTGCTGGTGGAAATATAAAATGGTAAAGCCACACCAGAAGAGTTTGGAAGTTTATTAAAAAACGAAACATACAAACAACATGACCTTTCGTTCTCTACTATTGGAAGTTCTTTTTATATCAGGGATACTAAGCTTTTTTTTTTAAGATTTTATTTATTCATTTGCGAGAGAGACAGAGAGAGAACAAGCAGGGGGAGAGGCAGAGGGAGAGGGAGAAGCAGACTCCCTGCTGAGCAAGGAGCCCGATGCGGGACTTGATCCCAGGACCCCGGGATCATGACCTGAGCCAAAGGCAGACACGTAACCATCTGAGCCACCCAGGCGCCCCTAAGCTTTTGTTTTTGACATGCCATTCACACTCCTGGGAATTTGTCCCAGAGAAATGACTAGAGTTCACACAAAAACCAAACTGTGGTACGGTTATACGATGGAAAACTACTCAGCAACAAAAAGGAACAAATTATAAATATATGCAAGAACTTGGATCTCTAGGGACTTGTGCTGAGTAAAAAAAAAGATAATTTCAATGGGTCCCATATTCTATGATTCCATTTGTGTAACATTCTTCAAGTGAAAAAATTATAGAGATGGAGGATAGATCAGTAGTTGCCAGTGGTTAGGCTTGTGGGGGCGGGAGAAAGGAGTGGGTGTGACTATAAAGAAGTGGCACAGGGAGATATTTGTGTGATGGAATAGTTCTGGGTCTTCACTGAAGTGTATCAAGAATCTTTGTATGAGATAAAAATAGCATAGAAATACACATACACACACTGTACCAATATCAATGCCTGATTTTGATATTGTAGTATAGTTACAAGAGGTGTAATCATTTGGAGAAACTGGATGAAGGGGTCATGGGAACACTCTGTACTATTTTTGTAATTTCCTGTGAATCTATAATTATTTTAAAACAAAAAAAATTAAGCAATCACTTCTCGGCCTTTTGGCTAAGATCAAATGTAGTATTTGCTCTTTTCAGTTTAATATATGATACGTTCTCTGAGGACAGCATATTAAATGGATTTTTGGAGCAGGGAGATGGAATAGGAAATTACTCTGCCCACTCCACGTATCGACCTGGTATTGCAGTACCTCCAGGAACAGTGCAGCCCCTCAGGGGAAATACCCAGGTGTCTAAGTTCAGCTTGAGCTGTAGGGGGTTGTTTATCTGAGATCATGTGTGTTGGATGCTTCTGCCTTCTAGTGTCTGGGCTGGAGGCTTGTGTCTGGCTTCCTGGAGGCATAGGTGTATATATGCACCATGGTCTATTTATTAATTTATTTTTTGGGGTCTATTTATTAATTTGAAGATTTTATTTATTTATTTATTTATTTATTTGAGAGATAGAGAAGGAGAGAGAGTGTGAGCAGGGGGAGGAACAGAGAGGGAGAGAGAAAAGCAGACTGTGCCCTGACTGCAGAGCTCTATGTGGGGCTTGATCCCTTGACCCAGAGATCATTTCCTGAACTGAAACCAAGAATCAGATGCTTAACCCACTGAGCCACCTAGGCACCCTTACCCATTCTGCTATTAACTGACATTTGTTGGGTTTCTAGTTTGGGCCTATTACAAATACTACTGCTATGTGTTATTTGTTTTCCCATAAACTATATACTTAAGAGTGAATTTCTGGGTCAAAAGATATGTGGTTCTGTAAATTTATTAGATAATTCTAAACTGTTTTCTAAAGTAGTTGTATCCATTTTTAATCCCACTTAATCCCGGTTCCAATTACTCCACATCTTTGCCAACACTTGGTATTGTTAGTTTCTCTGATTTAGGCATTATGCTGGGGCATAAAGTGGTATCATTGTAGTTTTAATATATAAATTCCTGATTACTAATGAGATTGATCACTTACACACGTGTGTGTGTGTGTGTGTGTGTGTGTGTGCATGCCATCTGACTTTTCTCTTTGGTGAAATATGTTTTTAGACTTGGCCATTTTGGGGGCACCTGGGTGGCTCAGTCAGTTAAGCATCTGCCTTCAGCTCAGGTGATGATCTCAGGGCTCTGAGATAGAGCCCTGTGTCAGGCTCTCTGCTCAGGGGAGAGTCTGCCTCTCCCTCTCCCTCTGCTCTTTCCCCCAACATTATCTCTCAAACAAATAAATAAAATCTTTTTAAGATTTTCATTTATTTTTTGACAGAGAGAGAGACAGCGAGAGAGGGAACACAAGCAGGGGGAATGGGAGAGGGAGAAGCAGGCTTCCTGCTGAGCGGGGAGCCCGATGCAGGACTCGATCCCAGGACCCTGGGATCATGACCCGAGCCAGAGGCAGATGCTAAATGACTGAGCCACCCAGGCGCACCACCAATAAATAAAATCTTAAAAAAAAAAAAAACTTGACCATTTTTTTCCCACTGAATTGGCGTCTTAATTTGTAGTTCTTTGTAGATTATGGTTATGTACCCACCATTGGTTATATGTGTTACAAATATCTCTCACTCCATGGCTTCCCTTCTATTCTCTTAATGGTAGCTTCTGATGAGTGGAAATTCTTAATTTTAATGTAGCCAAATACATCATTTTTTTCCTTTGTAGTCAGTGCTTTTGTATCCTTTTTTTTTTTTTTAAAGATTTTCTTTATTTGTCAGAGGGAGCACAAGCAAAGGGAGCGGCAGGCAGAGGGAGAAGCAGGCTCTCCGCTGAGCAGGGAGCCCAATGCGGGGCTTGTTCCCAGGACCCTGGGATCATGACCTGAGCCAAAGGCAGAGGCTTAACCGACTGAGCCACCCAGGCATCCCAGTGCTTTTGTATCCTTATAGTTTTTTTCCTAATCCAAGGTCATGATGATATTCTTTTTTTTTTTAAAAAAAGATTTTATTTGACAGAGAGAGACACAGCGAGAGAGACAGAACACAAGCAGGGGGAGTGGGAGAGGGAGAAGTAGGCTTCCTGCTGAGCAGGGAGCCCCATGCGGGGCTCGATCCCAGGACCCTGGGACCATGACCTGGGCCAAAGGCAGATGCTTAACAACTGAGCCACCCAGGCGCCCAACAATATTCTTCCAATATGATCTTTGAGGAGAGACAAACCTGAGGGCTGACCCTCAAATCATCAAGCCTCCCTGCTTGAGCTGGGACATTAACCTTCTGCCCTGGTGCTGGGATTTACACCATTGGCTCCCCTGGTTCTCAGACCTTTAGACTTGGGTTGGAATTATACCACTGACTTTCTTGGGCATAAGGCCAGGAAATCTTCTTTTACTTCTTTTTTAAAAAATTATTATTATTTTAAGTAGCCTCCTTATCCAGCATGGAGTCCAACCCAGGGCTTGAATTCAGGACCCCGAGATCAGGACCTGAGCTGAGATCAAGAGGTGGATGCTTAACTTCTGAGCCACCCAGGTGCACCAGGAAATCTTGATCCGTAGATTCAAGAAGTTTGACAAAACCCAAGTCGGATACATTTTTTAAAACCATACACCAGGACAGAACTTCAGATTGCAGATGGAAGATCTTGGGATTTCTTAGCCTCCATAACTATGTGAGATTATATATATATATACAATCTCTCTCTCTCCACACACACACATGCACATGTGTGCATGCACGCATGCACACACACACAAATATATCTCCTATTGGTTCAAGTTTTCTCTGGAGAACCATAATACATCTAAACCTAAAAGTAATAACATTGTGTTAATGGATTAAATATTTCAGATAAATGCTTGTCAGTCTAGATTAAAAACAACAACTGTATGTTACTTAGAAAAGCATATCTTAAAAACATGCAAAAGGGGGCACCTGGGTGGTTCAGTCAGTTAAGCGTCTGACTCTTGATTTCAGCTCAGGTCTTGACTTCAGGGTCATGAATTCAAGCCCCATGTTGGGCCTCATGTTGGGCTCAACACTGGGTATGGAGCCTACTTAAAGAAAAAAATTAGGGCGTGCCTGGGTGGCTCAGTTGGTTAAACGACTGCCTTTGGCTCAGGTCATGATCCCAGAGTCCTGGGATCGAGTCCCACATCAGGCTCCCAGCTCAGTGGGGAGCCTGCTTCTCCCTCTGACTCTCTCCCCTCTCATGCTGTTTCTCTCTCGCTCGCTCTCTAATAAATAAATAAAATCTTTAAAAAAAATTAAAAACTTGCAAAAAACAAGGCACCTGGGTGGCTCAGTTGGTTAAGTGTCTGCCTTTGGCTCAGGTCATGATCCCAGAGTCTTGGGATCAAGCCCCACATCAGGCTCCTTGCTTAGCGGGGGTCTGTTTCTCCCTCTGCCTGCTGCTCCCCCTGCTTGTGCTCTCTTTCTCTGTCAAATAAATAAATAAATAAATAAATAAATAAATAAATAAATAAAATCTTTTAAAAAACATGCAAAAAGCTTGAAGGCAAAAGTTTGGAAACAGACACACTTTGTAAACACTAGCCTAGAGAAAGCTGGTGTAGCATTTAAGCAAAATAAAAACTACTAAAGATAAAAGGCTCAATTAATTATGAAGCTGTAGAAATTGTATATTTGTATACATCTAATAACAAAGTCTTAAAATACATGAGGTAACATTTGACAGTTCTACAAACAAATCCACATTCTTGTGAAATTCTTTTTTTTTTTAAGATTTTATTTATTTATTTGTCACAGAGAGAGAGAGAGAGACAGAGAGAGGGAGAGCACAAGCAGGGGGAGCGGCAGGCAGAGGGAGAGGGAGAAGCAGGCTCCCCCCTGAGCAGGGAGCCCGACATGGGGCTCAATCCCAGGACCCCAGGATCATGACCTGAGCCAAAGGCAGACACTTAACTGACAGCCACCCAGCGTCCCTTGTTGAGAAATTTTTTTTAATTTATTTTTTTAAAATTTTATTATATTATGTTATGTTAGTCACCATACATTACATCATTAGTTTTCGATGTAGTGTTTCATGATTCATTGTTTGCATATGACACCCAGTGCTCCATGCAGTACATGCCCTCCTTAATACCCATCACCAGCCTAACCCATCCCCCCACCCCCCTCCCCTCTAGAACCTTCAGTTTGTTTCTCAGTCCATAGTCACTCATGGTTCATCTCCCCCTATTGTGAAATTCTTAACACATCTCTCACAGTAATTAATATAACAAGACACAGAAAATAAGAAAGGAAAGGTATGAACTTTCTATTTTGTCAAGCATTTTTATTATTTTTATTTTTTTATTATTTTTTTATTTTTTAAAGATTTTATTTATTTATTTGAGAGAGAGAGAATGAGAGATAGAGAGCACGAGAGGGAAGAGGGTCAGAGGGAGAAGCAGACTCCCTGCCGAGCAGGGAGCCCGATGTGGGACTCGATCCCGGGACTCCAGGATCATGACCTGAGCTGAAGGCAGTTGCTTAACCAACTGAGCCACCCAGGTGCCTGCATTTTTATTATTTTTAGAGGGGGCATTTATCTGATTTACCTCTTCTGTCATTACCAAGCTCTACACTTTCCATTAGGGGAAGGACGCGACATCTCAACGGCTGCCAATAGTAAATACCTGGGCCAACCAAAGATATTTCAAGATGAGAAAGTTTTTAAAGCCTATTAGAAAGTGAGGGTAGGGAACAATGATATTGAACAGGAAGATGGTAAGCAGAGACTAAGGTCTCAAAAAAAAAAAAAAAAAAAAAAAAACCGAACCGGAGTGAATAGTAGAAATTGGGGCTTAGCATTAGGAGGAAGGTAGAAAATTCTCTTTGGGAATGCAAATAAACTTTGGTGGAAAACAAGACACTGTAACAAAAAAAAAATGCAATGGATTTGAAATCATCCTGGATCTTCCTTTTACTAACTCTATACTCTTGGACCAGTTATTGACATTTTGAACCTCAGGTTTCTTGTCCATAAAATAAAGATCATTCTATCTAACCCGATAAGGGTTAAATTTTCCTATTATAGGCTCTCAGAGCACTGTGTCTATTTTCCTTCAAGCAATTTATTACTCAGAGTCTACATTGTGTTAGGAGCCCACACAATGGTGAACAAAATAGATCAGGTTTATCATTATCTTCCTAGAACCTGGCAAGCCTAGCAGATAGTAAATATTCAACAGATATTTCTTAAACGATGAGCTTATATAAAAACAAAAACAAAGCCCATAATGAATGCAAAAGTATTCAGTAAATGGCAAGAGGCTTTCTACAATAAAACAC